ATGTTTTTTTTTTTTTTTTTGTAAAGTAGAAAAGTAGATAGGTTATTTTACACTCTTTAAAAAACATTATTGAACAGTGATTTTCATTTTTTACCCCTTCACAAACCACTATTTATTCATTGTAGTTAGGTATTTTTTTAAATATAATTTTCAAGTTGTTTCATTTTTGTTTCATTTTCTCCCTAAAATTTTAAAATAAAAATCTTAAACCCCTAGCCGATGTACTACATCTATATTTTTTTAGTTTTTTTTCTTTCACTTTCTTCATCAATTTATGCTCTTTTTTTATTTAAGCTGGTGTTAAAATTTTGAAAAACCAATCGTTATTTTTTCACATAAATTGACGATTATATAATATATACGATATATTTTTAGATTTTAGAATAAATATATACGACTCTTATTGTTTAAAATTGAACTTTTCGATTTATTATAAAAATTCACATCAAGTTAATTTTTATTCTTATTTTATATACTTTTATTTATTAATAAATATGATTTATTTTCTCTCTGTATGGATTCGAATAAATTTTTTTTATACATGTTTTTATTTGCTTAATTATTATATAATCAAATTTTAAAAATAAAATATATGTATTTTATTTTCTTATTTTTTATATAATAAAATTTTATTACTATATATCTAAAAGAGGTGGGGTGCTTAAACATTGACTTTCACTGTTCACCCCTAAACTACTATTCACTCACTCGTAGCTAGTTTTTTTTTGTAATTTTCAAGTTGTTTTATTTTGATTCCTAAAATGTTTTAAAAATTTTAACCCCCTATCTTATTCACTACACATGTTTTTTTTTTCCTTTGATTTTTTTCATCAATTTATTTTTTTTTAAATTTAATTGAGTGTTAAAATTTTAAAAAATCAATCGTTATTTTTTTCACATAAACTGAAAATTATATAATATATACGATATGTTTTTAGATTTTAGAATAAATATATAATACTCTTATGGTTTAAAATTGATCTTTTTGATTTATTATAAAAATTCACATCAAGTTAATTTTTACACTTATTTTTCTATAATTTTATTTATTAATAACTATGATTTATTTTCTCTATGTATGGATTCGAATAAGTTTTTTTTATACTTGTTTTTATTTTCTTAATTCTTAGATAATCAAATTTTAAAGATAAAATATATGTATTTTATTTTCTTATTTTTTATATAATCAAATTTTATCGAAATCAATTTCATATTTTTTTATTGCACTCTATTAACTTCAATGTATATTTTAGAATATAATTTTTTAAAAATATTTTTTAATTTATGTTATACATTCTCACCCATTCGGTATGGTCTTGATGTATAAAAAATAATAATATTAGAGTCATTGATTTTATTATAAATAAACTATGCATCAACACACAATACCAACCATTTGCTATTATTTTTTTAATATTTTAAAATTAATTTTTTTCAATAAAATAATTGAAATAATATTTTAGAATAACCGCCTAATAATTCAAATACAATTTTGTATACTAATATTATTCGTTATTTTGTAAATAAATATATATAAATAAAAAAAAACTTCTCATCGGTAAAAAGCTTCATTCGTTGATTTTTATACAAGTTTTTATAAATCAAATTATTTGGATTAAATAATAATTAATGACAAAAATCCAGATCCGAAAAAAAAATGATAGGGACCTTTTGATAATATTAATAAAAATTAGGAATTGTTTTATATAAAACAATAACTTAGAAGATTAAAGCATAAAATACCGACAAATTGATAAAAAAATCTTTTTTTTTTCAAAAAAGGGCATCGGTTTTAGTTTAAAAGACTCAAACGATGTCGTTTTGGTTTTACTCGTAGCAAGAGCTTAGCTACGGTGAAATCATATTTCGTTTTAATATATATAATAATTAGAATAAGAGAGATGGTTCCTTCTAAAATTGTATATGCATTGAAGTTGTTAGACCTGTATTTTATAAAGGAATGAGTCAGTTTATATATAGTGGAGAATATAGAGTATGATGCACATCTTTAGTGTGTTAGACTATGTGGGTATGAAACTATAAAGAAAAAGATTCATGATTGTAAAATAAAAAATTAAATTAAAAAGCCTAATTTTAATGGATTTTGTGAAAAAAAATCCAAATTTAATATCTCATAGGCTCCAAAGTTAAGCGTCCGTCTTAAAGGTTGAAGAAAAGACTACTATGGCATCATTGAAAAACAAGGCCGTAATCAAAATATGAATAGGAAAACCTTGATTAGTCTCACACAACTCTTATGTCATTTTCTTTCTCATCTCTACTTTTTCTCCTTTTTGGCAGGGAGTATTAAACATGGGGTCTTGCGGCAACCTCTTTTAACAAAAAGGCAGTTCAAACGCTTTGATGAGGTCTTGAGAGGGCACGAGGACGGATCCACAAAATGGACCTTGGCCTGGGTCACGAGCGTTCTCCAGGAACAGAAAAAGGAAACTCCAGGGATCTACAAGTCTATAACCACACCTTTTTAATCTTAAAGTTGGGAAATGAGCGAGCATATCAATGCTATCTTGTCCCAACTCCCATGTCAGAAGAGCACCAAATTAATGTGACAGCTGCAGATCGCAGTTCAGCAATGAAGAATTTTCCTTCAACCAAGTCCCAGGAAACATTTTGGCAAACTTAAGGGTGTGCCTGGGATTCCACGGAGAAATAATTTACCTGCCATTGCATTTGCACCATTTCTGTTATTTTTTTTTTAAATGCTTAGCGATACCATAACGAGATACATTATTTTTAAAAATAAAAAATTTTTAAAGATAAATTTAGAAAGTAAAAAAGTTAAATTATATAATACTACCTGAAATAAAGTATTCAACTTTTTTTCCTCGTTTATATCCTTAAAAAAAAACATTATCCTTATAAAATTATGATAAATTTTTTTTTTTGGGTTATTTTTTTCTTGGGTTAGTATTAATTGCAAATATTGCATCCCTTAATTGTTTGGCAGCATAGGAACAAAAAACTAATTTATGAAACAAAGGGCCAAAAGTTTAATTTGATCCTGATGTATAAATTGTCAGAGGCTTTGAGGGTCTTCGAAGTTCTAATTACAGTGCATGAAAAAGCAAAAAATATATACCTTCTAAGTAACTTTTCATTTTTATTTTTATTTTTTGTATTTTTTTCCAGAATTATCTTTAAATTAATATTTAAATCAAATAATTGTCATTTTAACAATTAAAACACTTTCGAATTCAAACAACATATACTGGTGTTATTAAATATTTTTTTCATAGCCAAGCCAAAAGTGTAACAATAAATACAAATACTACAATGAAGTCTAATAAAGTTACCAGGTCTTGTCCTCCTCAAAAAGCTGCATAGAATTGTTAGCATTTTATGAGCGACTGGGTATTGCTTAATGAATCTAGTCAATGTTAGCAAATGTTTTCAACCGGAAGGAATTGGCACCATATTGTTTTTCCTTGGCAACTAAAGTTTGGAATATTTTTTTTTCCCAGTTTATTAGAAAGAACTTTAGTTATTTAAACAAATATTTTAATTTTAAATTTGTTTGTATATAAAAAACTCATTAGATAATTGTGTTGTTTTGTCTGCTAGATCGAATAGCGAGATAGCATGAGCTTTTAGACCTAATATTAGAAAAAAGAATTAAGTAAAAAAAAAAAAAAGTAAAAAAGTAAGAATAATCATACCATATATAGATTTTTGTTATTCGATAATTGTGTTTATTCTATAGTTGTACGAGGATTTCTTATTATATTTTATAAAATGACGGTTTCAAATATAATTGATATTGTCTCTATTTATAATGTGAATAACTAGTCATTTAAACAAATATTTTATAAATTTTTTGGAGGCTTCACTCTCGAGCCTCTGCAAGAAGCGTACCCTCTTGACTTCCGCTCACTAACCAACAAATAAAATCGTCATATACATAGCGTCTTATATTGTGAAACCTTCGTCCACATCAATTTCTACATCCTAACACTTGAAATACCCTCGTTACAAAAAAAAAAAAAGTTTGGAAGCGTTTTGAGTGAAACCATATAAAATCTGACACCAAAAGTTAAAAATAAATAAATACAAGGTTACAAATACAAGAAATTCCCTTGAATTATGAAAAAAAAAACCCTCACTGGAAATTAAGGGAAAAGAAGAGAAAAGAAATCAGAAAGTTAAGGAAATAATTAGAAGCCGAAGGAATGTTACCAAGCATCCATTAAGAGTCAAAATCTTTATAAAGAGAGAAACTATTTCTTTCCTCTTCATTTCACTCCTTCGTATTTCATATCTCATAATTATTTATATTTACAAATAGAGTGCAAAAGAAAAATGCTTGAAACTACGACTGCCAAAACTATGAATTAAAACTGATATCCATTAATTATTGTTCTTTCTCCATCTTGTTGCAGCATGCATAACAACTGTCATCAAACTTCTTTTCTTTTTTACTTTTTTAACATTTTAATATTACCTACCTTTCTTAAGAGATCTTTTCATTTTTCCCACATATTTAAAAAGTTATTAAGAATATATATATATATATATATATATATATATATATATATATATATTAAGAATTGTATTTAAATATTTTTACAAAATAAATTTTAATTAAAAATATTTTTAAAAAATACACCACTTAAAATTTTAAGCATATAAATATCTTAAAACTGATATAAATAAAAATATACACTATCTTTTTAAAATAGAGAGTAGCAATATATAATATATTTTTGGCTTATTTGTGAAGAACCCATAACCTCATTTTGACCCTATTCTCAAGAACCAATAAAGTTATCCAAAACAATATAATTAAAAAAAAAATGAAAAGACAATAAGCTATCATTAGCTAATTGGCATTCCATTCCCACGAGCCACCATCCTGTTCTTCAGAGATTCTGCCCCCATTAAAAAAAACCTCCTGATATTGGACACTCATTTTTCATTCCTATTTCTTTATTATCTGCACACTGCACTAATATTTGTACTATTGTGTATCCTTGAATATTCAATCACTGGATCCTCGAAACAACAGCACAGCGTATTTTTTGCTGTGTATTATGAGTAATAATTACCTCCTTTATGTATTTTGAGCTATTCCTATGAACCCAACAAAAATTGAAGCAGTAAATAGGAGAAAAAAAAATTCAATCCATGTCTAATGGTGGTATTTATAGAAATAGATAGTTGATATTGAGTTTTATCTAAAAGACTTAAATCTTACGTTGAATTATCATTTTTCAAACTTATATTTTACCTTTTCAATGTGGGATATATGTGTTTTGGAGTCCGTCAAATGATTTGGACTTCGGGATTTTCATTAGACCGTTGGACCTCCTCCTCACTTGTAGCTTATCTTTTGTGGCTTATCAAGTGTCGTCGATTCCAAAATTTTTACTTGGACCGTTTGGCTTCGACATTACATAAAGTTAGATAGTTAAATTGATTTCATTCAAAAGATTTAAATCTTATGATAAATGATATCGTTTTAAATTTATATACTATTCATATTTTATTTATTTTTTCAACGTGAGTATGTGTTCTTGATTCTTTTTTACTTATAACTTAAACGACTTAAGTTTCAAAATCTTTGTTAGGTGGATGAATTTTTAAAAAAACTCATATATATATATATATATATATATATATATATATATATATATATATATATATATATATATATATATATATATATATATGACACCTATGGTGTTAAAAAAAAAATCATTATAATTTTATAAGTGTAGTGTTTTTTTGAAACAATACAAGAAAATGTACTTTATTTCAATGGGTATTATGTCTTTTAATATTTTTATTTTTTAAATTTATATCTAAACCATTTTTATTTTTGAAAATGATATCTGTTAATGTGCTGTCATTAAGCATCTTTCATGTATATATATATATATATATATATATGAAAGATTTAAGCTATAAATGGTGTTTTTACGATCTTATATATTATTTATTTTTTTATTAATCTTTTCAACTTGGTATTTGTGCTTGTGCATGATGTAACCACTTTTAACCATCCACCGTGATTTCCTGAACCAATCACTGCAAAACTGGTAACATGATGCACTAATGACTAATGGGTCCTGCAAAAAGTACCTTAGAATTTCCTTAGGAAAAAAAAAAAAATCAGACTGCATCATGAAATAGAGTAGAGTTTTTCATTACCAATTTTTCTTTTCCTATCGAAAAAATAATGTGTTTGTTTTGAAAAGGAAAAGGTTTGACAATTCCCCAAAAACCGGATTTTAAGGAGCCGTTGGAGAGTTCCTCGGGAAAATATAAGGGTAATTCCGTCAATATATTTTACGTTTTCCAATAAAAGTCAGAAAGAAATCAGTCAGCTATTCTCTTCTGACAATAAATTTACACACCCTCGTTTACATCTCTCTCCACCCTCTCTCGTTTGTACTCAGCTAGAAAGAGAAATTGGGAGAGATTTTAGACGTTTTGGCTTATGCAGAGAGAAGCAGAAAAAAGAGTTTATAGGGCAAATCTAAAAAGTTCCCCCAACTATAGACCTTGTTTTGATCGAATCAAATGAGATTTTTTTTATTTAATGTGTTTGATATCTGAGATTTAAAAACTTAAATTAATTTATTATTATTTGTAAGACATGTAAAAGGAACACGGTTATTTAAAAAGTTTTTTTTTAATCACAAATCATTTATTTAAAAAATTAAAATTCTTTCATCTCAATGCAACTCTATTAAATAGTCATTAGAAATTTTTTATTAATAGGATCTCTAAGATATTAATAAATTTTCAATTTAGTTTTTAGTTTTTCATAAACAACTTTTCATAAAGTTTTAATTAGAAAACCTTAAATTTTCCTACGAAAACTTTTTTTATTTAAAAATAACAATTTGAATAGGATATACTAATAAAAATGAATGGATAAATTCAACTGAGAATTTTTGAAACTTAGAAAATCTAATTAAGACAAAAGTTTATTTGAAGACTTAAATGAGACTAGAAAGAGGGTTGCTTTGTTTTTTTCCCCTCTTTTCTTACTAAGCATTAAATTGAAGGAAATAATTCAGTAAATAATACTACTATTAAGTCTCATTCTTAATTAAATTTCCAAAATATTATAAAATTCTCATTTAAAACATTTCCATCCAAACTCTTCACAAATTTCTAACAATAACATTAAATTTCCTACATAAAGATGTCACTTATTACCAAAAAGAAAACAATTTGAATGGAATTCGTGAACGAAATTGGATAGAAAGACTAACATGAGAATTCCTGAAACTTTAGCAATCCAATTGAAATAAAAACAATTTCTTGAGGACTTAATCGACATCACAATGGCCTTTGGTTTTCCTTTTATGACTAAACCTGAAAATGAATACTACCACCATTAAGCACACAAACCGAGGCTTACTTCTCTTCTTCTCTCTGTATCAACTTTTGCAGATTCCACTGTATTTGCTTTTTGTGCATTTTCATCATTTCAGTTTGTTTCTCTTTTGTTCTTACTGTACAAAATCTACCCTTTTTGAAGTCCTGGTGACGGATACTCTTCAGGGCCTTACTTGCATTCATTGCTTGCTATAATAATCTTTCAGGTTTCCTTTAATGGATTGATTTTTATGACATCCCAGCTACTCCTCTTTCCTATCTTCTTTGAAAACAACTACTCGTCTCTGCTTTTGCTCTGTTTTGTTCTTTCTTTTGGAAAAGAAAATTGAAATTTTTCTACTTCATTTTGTTTTCCATTGCCCCGGTCTTGTCTCAATCTTGAAATGAAAGCTTTGCCCAAGTGGGCTTCTCGTTTCTTGGAGAAACAACCTTCTATGTTCTTGTGGCTTGGAAAAGTTTGTTCTGTTTTTGTTCCGTTTCTTCGACAAGGTTGGGTGGTTTAGGGTGAAAGGTTTTAGCTTTTTCGTAGTCCCTTTGTTTCTTTTGTTTCCTTGGCTTATAGGGTCTCTACAAGTTGATTTTTTAGAGACTCTGTTGCATTTCTAGTGCAAAGTTTGGTTTTCTGGAAGCCATTGCCTCATTTGAAGAGATTCTGTTGATAGACTTGAAAAAATGGAGTTCATTTTATGAACTGGGTCTTTAACATTTTGGCTCAGAAATGGGCTCTGCAAGCTCCAAAGTCGACAAAACTGAACCTTTGGCTCTGTGCAAGGAGCGGAGGAAGTTCATAAAGCAAGCAATTGATTCAAGGTACAATCTTGCAGCAGCTCATGTCTCTTACATTAACTCTCTTAAAAACATTGGTGTAGCTCTCCGCCGATTCGCTGAAGCAGAGATTTTGATAGAGTCTTCTTTATCAACAACCTCAGCCACTGAGCTTGACAAGTCTCCTTCACATTCCTCATACCTCTCTCCCTCTCCCTCCCACAATGTAGAGGTCTCAGATTCACCATTGCACTTTGAGAGCCCAATTTCACCACCAGTGATGAATTTGAGTTATATGAGAGCTGGTGGAGGTGGTACTGCAGTGACTGTTAAGTTTAATTTGAATAATAGTAGTGATTTTGTAGAGGATGAGTCATTGGGGTTCTCTATGCCAATGCCGCCACCTCCTCCTCCTTTTGAGTCAGGTGGTTCTTGGGATTTTTTTGATCCTAGTGATAATGGTGAGAGTTTTAGATTTATGGGGCATAGTGACTTGGATTTGGATTTTGATGATTTGAGAGGGTGGAATGAGTTTAGGGGTGAAAGGGTTGGCGTTGAACATAGTATGGTAGATGCAAAAGGAAAATGGACAAAAGTTGGTTTAGATGGAAAGAGTCGAGCACGTGAAGAAACTGTGAAGCCTGGTGAGGAGCAAAAGGGGGTTGAAAATTCTGGTAATTCATTAGCTCAAAATGGGAGTTATAACTTAAGGGTGGAAGGTACTGCCCCATCATTTAGATTGAGAGGAGTTGAAGGTTCTAGTGGACAAGCACTTGTTGGTCAGGTGAGGCGTGTGGAAGAGGGGCAAAATGCTAATTTTTCCACTCTTGAACGATCAAGTTCAAAGAGGGAGAAAGCAGTAGCAGTGAACAATTTGTCTGCAGAAAGAGAGGATCCATCGGAGTTCATTACGCATAGGGCCAAGGATTTTCTTTCAAGTATAAAGGATATAGAGCATCGCTTCTTTAGAGCCTCTGAATCTGGCAAGGAGGTCTCCAGAATGCTTGAGGCAAACAATATCAGGGTTGGATATTCTGATGCAAAAGGTAATCACTTCTGTCATTGAATTAAATGGCTGAGTTGCAGTTGACATATTTATTTGTCCACTGCGATTCCAATGCCATGATGCTTGTTGGTGCAATTTTTTAAAATTTTTGTGGTTATTGAACATTTCTGAAACATTGTATAACAACTCCAATTCTATAGGGGGGTCATCTGCCTCAGCAATTTTGGTGGCTGTAAAATGTGTTTGCTGTCGTGGAAAGACTGCACTTGTTTCTCATGGTAAGATTAGCTCTTGTTCTGTGAGTCAATGTTTAGGACTCTTTTTCTTTTCTGTGGGACAATTCTATCTTTAGGTCAATTATTGAGCAAGAATTCATGAATTGTCTTTTAGAACCTGTGGCAATTTTGAAGACAAACAGCTTTATTAATGTGTTTCTCATATTTCTTTTTATTATGCTAATTCTCTCCAATGCTTTTGTAGAACCTTTGGAACATATGACTAAGGTCATTACATGGAAACGGACAACATCTTCAAAGTCATCTTCATCAAGAAATCCTCTTGTCACAGCAACAAAAGATGATGCCTCAGATAGTGGTAGTGATTTTGTTGAAGAGTTCTGCATGATTGCAGGAAGTCATTCCTCCACCCTCGACAGACTGTATGCATGGGAAAGAAAACTCTATGATGAAATAAAGGTACTTTTTTAAAACCCTTTTTTTCTTGTATACAATGCTTTCTTCTTGATCCTCTTGTTGTTTCTAGTTTTTTCATGCATGACCCTATATGACAGGAAAATGTGTTTTGATAATGTTCAGGGCATATCAATTTAAGGTGTTCATATCATAACAAAGTTTTTATGGGCTTGTTATGATATTTATTGTGTAATGTAGAAAATCATTTGAAGGCATTTGACAGTTTTGTTTGTGCAGAATGGCCTATTAATTTCTGATATGAACATACACATATGTTCATAGAATAGACTAGTATATTTAAAGGAAAATCGTGTTACTCTATTGACATTAAATAGGCAGAGAAGAATGGCTGGAATGTGGTAGACAGGTGCTTGAAAGATCAATGCATGTCATTCCTCAATCTTTATCTTTTTCGGGAAAATGTATTGTAATTTTCCTCTCCACCCTTGCACCTTTTCTCTCCAGTGGTTTTCTCTCTCCCTTCTCCCTCATTCTTTTCCCATGGTCTAACCCCTACTTTCGTCCCTGGGAAGTAGGACCTACAGTTTCTCACTCTTGAATATGATGAATGTTTCCAGTTGTTATTGTTGTTTTCAAAATAAACTCTTCCATTGCACTTGGGTTCAGCCTATTTGAAGGGCTACGTAAATGGTTTTTTGTCACTGATAATTTGTAGCAGGTTTAGGTAGATATATATGAAATTCCTTCAAGAAATGTGGTGGTTGTGCATGTTCGAGAGGTCTTGGTCTGGGTAGCTTACTGTTAGGATTTTGAGATGTGAGCTTTTGATGGGAGCAACATGTCTGTCCTCGAATACTTTGGGATGTGGATTTTGAATAATGGTACAGGAAAGGAAGCTGGCATGCATACGGCCGGAGGCCAGGGGTTGTGGGTTTGGTGGCTCCCTGTGAAGAGCATGGTCTTTCATCTCCCCCGTTTGGACTGAATGTTTTTACCATCATTTTCTGTTCCTGGTTCAGGCTTCAGAGTGAGCTGATCTGAAGTCCAGCTCCTTTTACTCTCATGCTTTATGGCCAAGTCGCAGTCACAGTCTAGAAAGATGTGACTCAACCTCTGCCCCCCTGCAAGGTGTGGGTTGGACTTTGTGGCCAGCACTGTGGATAATGGGAAACAAACCTATCCTGGCTGTGGGCCTTTGGTTTTTTGGTCTTTGAACTGCTTCTATTTTTCTGGTAGGAAATGAGTTTAGTCGGCATGATGAAAAAAGTGGATATAAATTACTAATCTGCTTACCAGTTGGTTGTGCCCAGCTAGTTTGGATCCCCCATCCCTACACACACACACACACACCATCCTCACATTGAAATAGCTCTGATTGTTGCTAGTGAAAATGAGACTCTACAATATTGATGGCAGAAACTGTTGATGCCTGCCAAAACTGTATTTACATGGCCTATGGGGCTGAAGTCAAGCAGTTAGGGGAGGTTTAGTGAACTGTTAAGGCAATTAAAATTGATGAATTGTTTGATAGGAGCCTCTTGGGACAATCATTTCTGGGGTAGTTTGGTTCATTCAATGTTGTTTCATTTAGAACATTACTATATGTATTTGTGGTATCATTTAACATCCCACGCACACCTAGGAGTCTTAACACTCTTCATTGGAAGTTCTTAACTCAACTCTTGTTCTCTATAATTGACAACCATTTTAATCCATTTAGGCCTTTCATTCTTTTACCTGTCTGAGCTATTGTTCAAATGTGTTATAGTATATTTCTTAATGGTGCTATTCTGGTTTTCTTGCCTTCTGTGTGCTGTAGAAAGTTGGTGCTCTCCCACCAGTGTATTTTGTTCCTCAAAAGGCGCACCCCCTTGTACGCCAACCTTGTGCACAATGCTAAACATTATTGTTTGAGAATTATGTTTGTGCACGCCCAAGCATTTGTAATTTAATGATAATTTTTGTAAAAAGATTCTAATAAATTTTCTTTGGCCCCCATGAGAAAAGTTTTGGGCTTTGCCATCTAGAGACTTAATATACTTTTGACTTGCAAATTCATAGATACATCACCCTTTTTCAAATGTCACAAATCTAATCTGAAAACTGTCAGCTAATTGTTATTCCGGAGCAGTTTATCTTATGCTGTGAAGAATTGTTAACTTAGCACTAATTTTTTCAATCATGAGACAGAGAGAGAGGGAGAGTTACACAAGGATTTCCAAAGACGTAAACAAGAATGGCTGTGTTTACTGTAGCTGCATCTGTCTTGAAGATTGTGTCAATTTCGCTGTGTCCAAACAGTTTCTTAGTTATTTAGGCTGTTCCAAGTTTACTGTTTCCTCTTTTATGTATATCTCACTAACAATTTTGTCTCTATAGGCCAGTGAACCTATCAGGAAAGAGTATGATCGGAAGTGTGACCAGCTTAGACACCAGTTTGCCAAAGATCAAAGTGCTAATGTGATTGACGGAACCCGGGCAATTGTAAAAGATCTCCATTCACGCATAAGAGTGGCAATCCATTCTGTAGATTCAATATCAAAGCGGATTGAAAAAATGAGAGATGAAGAGTTGCAGCCGCAACTTCTAGAGTTAATTCAAGGGTAAGTGTGTGTGATTTTTTTTAGCTGTTGATTCATCTCTATTCTGTGGGACTATATTATTGACCATTCAGCTTATGCAGGTTGATCAGGATGTGGAAGACCATGCTTGAATGCCATCATGCACAGTACATCACAATCTCATTAGCATACCATTCCAGGAGTACAACAGGAACTCCACAGGGAGATACACGTAGGCAGATCATGGCTCAGCTCCAGCAGGAGATCGAATGCTTTGGCTTAAGCTTTGCCAACTGGGTTAACAGTCATGCATCCTACGTGGAAGCTCTAAACGGTTGGCTGCAAAATTGCATCCTGCAACCACAGGAGCGTTCCAAGAGTAGGAGGCCATTCTCCCCTCGCCGACTCTTGGCTCCACCTTTATTTGTTCTCTGTCGCGATTGGTCAGCTGGGATCAAAGGTTTGCCATCCGAGGAACTTAATAATGCCATCAAAAGCCTCTCATCTGATTTTCAACATCTAATGGAGCAACAAGAAGAGCAGTTACAAATGGAAGAGAAAGTAGTTGATGCAAACAATGGAGAATCAGGGGGCAAAGAGAATGATAGGAATGATGATGCGTCCTCGAACTTGTACTGCATACATGCCAGTTTAACAAAGGTTCTTGATAGACTGAACAAATTTTCCGAGGCTTCATTGAAAATGTACGAGGACATCAGACAGAAAACTGAAGCAGCTCGAGTAGCGTACTTGAACTGCAGGCCACTTAGGTGTTAAATTTTATGTAATTGGAGCATATAAGCATTTCTAAGTTTGCGGTTGGAAATAGAAAGTTGTAAATGCAAAGTGGATTGTTTCAAAGGGCTTTTAGAGAAGGAATAGAATATTTTCTTTTGTGCGAGTAAATTTGCTGAAACTGTATTCCTAGCAATACTGTTCTGTAGTTCAAGTTGTTAACTTGACCGCTGGCTACTCTTTTGTTCTGCTGTTTTTGCTAAGTTCAAAATTTCATTCATACTCTGGTTGATGCTGTGTGGGAAGAAGACGAAAGTGAAGGTTACATCCAGTCAATCGGTTCATGGGTTTCTTTTCTTATAGAATCCAGTCTGTTTTAAGTACCTGCATTTTGTTATTAAGTTAAATCCATTGCTTTTGATGTGGAGATTGAATGGTACCTAAAAACAGAGCTCCCCTGTTCGCTCTCTTTAGAAAATTTGAACCAAGCATGAGCTGCCTTTTAAGAGAAAAAGTTGTATTTATATTGCACAATTGAACAAATTGCTAAAATGTATTTTGACCACATTATTCTCACCCACTTGAGGATGCCAACTTAGCTTTTCGGAGATGCTATCAACATTAACCCAAACGAGTTTAAATGAGGAACAAACAACAACAGTCAATAAGAAAATCCATGCCCCTTCTTCCCCCAACTGGGCAACTTCAATTGTTAACTTTGCCTTTCGCTTTCTATTAAAATCAGAACCCAACATACTGCGTGTACTGTGCATAAGCATCTGACTGCATGGCAATTGGGGCCCTTGTAACATGATCAGGGAGATCAAACGCGTCAACAAGCTCCTTCGCAATATTCCTCACTTGGAAACTTAAGTAATCTGTGAGCTTGTGGATTGCCTGCACAAGGAGAAAGTAAAATGAAGGAAATCCTGAGAGCCAACCAAGCATGCCTCGGATATCTCTGAATACTAGATTTTCTCCTAAAAGCATATAGGCGACCTGAATGTTCTTAATCCAACTCATATTAATGATCTAAAAAGCAGAAATCAGGGGAGAATTTTTTCGCAGCATCCACATGGCATTCAGTTCAAAACATTCTGATTTTTTTCTATTCTGAAAGATATTTAATACCTTAGCTTTGTTTGGTGCCACATAGTCAACGTTTCGATAGGTTCCTATGTCATTCCAGATTCGATTCAAGGCATAAAGATCGCAGACAAGTTTCAAAGCAACTCGCGAACTTGCATCAGGGCATCTGGCACATAAAACAGGAAACTAGAAACTCATTAACTGCGAAAAAAAAATGGAAAGTTCCGTAGATGAGTTTAGGAGGTACTTCTCCACAGTTTCAATGAACTTTGCAAGTATGACAGACTCAATATGGGACTCTGCAAGCGTGAGAAGGTGATTCAAGCATCGATTCCAAGCTCCAAAGCCCCCAAGAGTTTTAGAGTGCTTGCGTAGTCGGACAGCAGCACTCTGAAGCAATCGAGATGTCCGGTACTGTAAGAAGAAGAATCGAAGAAGTTAAAAATACAGAAAGATTGCTGGGTTTGTGCCTGTTATTCTTAAGTAACAAACAAGGATAAGAGCTCACTCTGAAGGCATCCAACTGGAATTTAGGATCTCGCAAGTGTTCTACACCTTCCCAACGTGCTGTTACAGGATTTGGCTGAGAGAGGTATGCGTTCATTGATTCTCTCAAATAGTTCCATGTAACAGCCAGTGTCCCACCTTGGAACTTCTCCTTGTATTGCTTCAAGAGATCAGCTGCTACCTGCGTCAAGTAAATATTCAGGTCAAGCTTTCATCCCAACAAAAACAATGCTTGATAATCTAGAATACCAGAATTCTTTCATAAAATTCTAGAGAAAGATTGTAATGTTCAAAATGGTTCTCATTTCATTTTATCCATATATGAATCCTTTTGCCACTTTAATGACAAATCCATCTCATGGCCAGTTCTCAACTTTTCGGCTTCTCCTAGAGTTTAGCACCATGAATTTAGGTATTAGGATTTAGGCAAAAACAACCTAGGAGTTTGAATTGTGATTTTTTTCAAGCAAGGACACGTAAAATGAGATGTGTGCAACCTGTTGTAGAAGTACTGTGTTGTCCCCTTCAAATGTCTGGAATATGTCATGATCATTCCTCAAGGTACCAAACCGATTGACAGCAGCATAACCATGGCCTCCGCAGGCTTCCCTGCAGACACTCAATGATTTTGCTGTATAGGATGTCACATAAGCCTTGAGGCCTGCTGAAAGTGCATGGACATCTCCAACCAATTGTTCTTCATGAGTAATTTTCATCTGAGAATATATTTCTACCAAATACTTGGTGGCAAAATGAAATGCATAAGTTGAAGCCAGCATTGGCATGAGCTTGTGCTGTTGAGACTGATAATCCAGAATGCTAACTTCAGGTTGCTTGGGAGGGCCAAACTGCTGGCGCAGTAATGAATATCGGATGGCAATTGTGTTAGCAATCTTTAGAATACCAACTGAAGAATACGCAAGGACAACCCTTCCACCTACAAGTTCCCCTAGTGTAGCAGCAAATCGTTTGTTTATGGTTGGAAGACTACTTGTATACTTCCCATCGTGGGACACATCTCCAAATCGATTAAGAAGATTATCTCGGGGAATTCTCACTGAAGTGAATCTCAATGCTCCATTATCTACCCCATTCAGACCAACCTTGTGGCCACAATCATGTATTTCAATTCCTGGAAGTGCCTGGTGGGTCTTCATATCCCTTAGTGGAACAATGAAGGCATGGACACCCATATCAGAGACACCTTTAGCATCGTGAGTAGGCAACATCAGCTTAGCAAAAACAGAGGCAAACTTTCCATGAACTGCAGCATTGCCAATCCACCATTTGATGGCCCCGTCATTGGGTGTGTTAATTATAAATTCATCTGTAATTGGATCAAATGTTGCAACTGTTTGGAGGCCTTGAACATTTGAGCCTTTGAAGCACAAAAGTTCAGTTTTAGTTAAGGTACATCGATGTTGCAATTACACAATGAAAAGAACATACCTTAGAAATGTTAAATAAAACACACAAAATGCATGCGCCCAGAGCACAAACTCTCATGGCAAATTAAATAAAAAAACATAAAAATGAAAAGCTTAATGATTATAATCTACAATTTGTTCTCTTGGGTTCTGTGTTTTAGTTCGTGAATTGGTTCTACATCATAGTCATGACTAATAGCAATGAAGTGAAAGCATACGACAATACTTAGATGGCCTTCCACATAAAATATGACGACCTCAGCCATTTCAAATCCAATTCAAAGGGTCTATCGCATACATATTTTCAGAAAGTTTCACAAATTATTCACCAACACATATATTTCTGCAGGAAACCTCTTCTACTCAAGATAATGTTTCAATATTACAATTCACATAAATTTAAATATCATGACTTGCATTCTTACTGAAGTTCGCTACAAGTAGAAGTGTAGAACTGAGAAAAAGTTGCTATACTTTGTTGATGTGCATATAATACATAACAGCAACCAACAGATGTTTAATTTAATACCACATACATACAAAGTAAGTTACAGAACAGTACAGGTAGAAGAGATTACCATGATGAAGCTCCGTCATAGCAAAACAACCTGGATACTCCAAACTGTCAATCCCTTCAAAATACTTATCCTTATGCTTTTTCGTTCCTAGGTTAATCACAGAGCCTCCCCAAAGACTACAAATTTCAAGAACTGTCTTTCAAATAGATGACAAAACAATTCAACAGAAAAGGCAAAGGTCACAAAGTTTACTGTCTCTGTCACCAGGTTATCCTCATTAGAATCTCAAAACCATGAATGAACCAGACAATTAAAAAAAAACTACGAGAAGAAACATAGGCCTTAACAAAATGCTAAAGACAACAAATGAAAAAGAGTAATTGGCATAAGCATGGGAATTAGTCAGGCTAAATAGTCCAAACACCCTCAATGTCAAATAAAAACATATATATATATATATATATATACACACACATATATGCAGGTACAGTGAAATCGAAAATTCCACATAAATTTATGAATTAGCAAGCATTACAAAACAAAATGCCAAGTCAAATTAATTTCCCTATTCACCTTTCAGCCACCCCACCCCACCAAAAAAAGATCGAAGAAAATGACGAAATTATCACTCACCTATACTGAACTCCCAACTTGATACCAAGAGACATATCAACAGCACCAACAGCCTCCACGATAGCAAAATACTTACCAGGATCTTCAACAACATATTTTAAAGGCCTAATACCAGCTTCTTTAATCAAACCATACATTTGTCTCCAACAAAGCTCTCTATGCTCATCTTTTGAAATCTCCAACGGTGTTTGCAACTCTGGCCTTGCGTTAAAATATTCATAAATCTTTTCTTGTACATCTCTGTAATTCCCTCTCATATACACCGACAACTTCTCTGTCTCCACCTCCAGTTTTGCTGTTTTCCCACATGGAAACAACTCAAGCTGATTCTCCAGGTCGGTGTCATGATCATGCAGAGGGCGAGGTATGGGTGTTATGTGTAAGGAGAGCCGTTGGATTCGTCGCGATACGGTCTGGGTCTCATTTTCAGCTGTTGGATTTTGCTTTCTTTGCTCCATTTTTAGTTGCTTTTTTTTTTTTTTAATCTCTGGTGGTGGTAATGATCAAGAAATGAAGGCAGCAAAAGCAGAAGTCAGGTGGTTGGTTTCTCTATTTATACAGGAAAGCGAGATTGACGTGCGGTTAGGGTGGACGCGTGGCGAGAGCTGATTGGAAGACGCTTGGCTGTTCACAAAGGCGCGCCTTTCAACGTCACGTGGATCTGTTCCGCTGTTGGATGGGTTTGATATCGTATAACATGGTGCCAAGTTAGGCCCTCATTGACATGTGAGCCGTTATTTATTTATTATTTTTTAAAATATTTTTTTAGTAATTTTCATACATATCATTGAAGTTATTAATTATTATACATATTAGTATTTTTTTTATCTATATTTTTGTTATAATTTTTTTATTTTAAAAATTGTATAAAGATAATTTTTTACAAAACAAATTTTAATTAAAAATATTTTAAGAAAATACATGATTTAAATTTTTGACTGAATAAACATCGGATGAGAAATAGAAATAAAAAGACAGATAATCTCTTTATGCGTGCATTAAAAAAAATAAAAAATAAAAGTAACATTATTTATTAGTTGGATAGGATATGGCAAGTCGCCTTCAACTTGTTTTGGATCTGAGCAAACATCAATTTTTTATTTTTTTCCCTAGGCAGAGAAGCCAAAGATCTGGTCTATGAGCTATATTTGCAATAATAATCCTTTACGGTTAATAAAATCGAATAATATGCTGTGAATCGTCTGATACTAAGACAAGGATACCATGAGAAGATCTGACCAAAGGAAATTCTTTAGTGCATGAAATTTTTTATTTCATTAGAACTTTTTTCCAATATTCACAGCTAATGGAATATATTCGTACTAATCTTCATATCAATTAAAATTAAATTTATGTTTTTTAAACTAAACTAATAAAAAATGATGTTAGAAATTAAAATGATATACCGTGAATTGTCTAATTCTAGAACGAGGATTACCATTCTCCGGATGGGAAGAGGGGAGCTGACCAATGGGAATTCTTAACAAAGAAGGAAAAAAGTTTCTTGAATAAAAAAATTGTGCATGAAATATTTTATTTCATTGAATTGTTATTATTATTATTAGTATTTGTAATTACATATAGTAGAAAATGTTCAATACACGTTTCGAATCAATCCAAACTAAACCTATCGCTCTTCAAACCAAAACACACAATCAACCTCTTAGACCAAACTAATCCATACCTAATACAATTAAAAAATAAACATGACTAGGAGTCCATTAGACCAACTTTAATTTTTCATTTTTCTATTCAATTACTCGGTTGTCATTAGTGACGCTGAACAACCTTCAACTGGTTTCAAGATAGAATAAATAACACCACCAAACACCGAATGTATATTTAGTTCATATACTAACTAATTACTTTTTCTCAAAAGCAACTATTCCATGCATGAACAATTTTACCACGGTTTGAAATCTTTCCCACTGAAGTACAAATAGGGCAGTTTGCCGGATGATGTTGGCGTAGGCACTGCTGAAAATCCACCATAGTTCCTCTCTGACTTAGTTAAGCATATCCCGGCAATGTATTCGAATGACTTGTGTTTCCGGTTGAAGGTTTGGTTCACATATTCATCGATTGGCATCCACTGCCAAAAAAAGAAAAGAACAAAAAGAAAAGATTGGTTATTAGCATAATCATTAAAACGGAGATGTTTATGGATTCATATTCCAGATATTATGCTAGTACATGATTCCCTGAACATCATAACCACAACTAAGTAAAATCCTGATACTCCTATTGTATTGGATTTTTTCTCTGAAAGGGATACATTTCAAGTTATAGCTATACTGCCCCAAGATCTTCAAGTTAAAATGCTGATGCAAAATCAAGGTTCGTAAGCTGACACAAATATCATCAACCCTTATATAGGATGGAACACATTAATGGGTTTTTCAAGTAAGATGATGTTTAATTGTAACTTGAATGACTGGTTCAACTTTTTAAAGAGAAGATTTATCGTGTTTAATCGTTGACATATGCTACAATATTTAGATGTACCGTTCTTACACGGAAAAAAAACCTATCAAATAGTTGAAATGTACCTGAGCTGCGGCAATCTCTGAATCTTGTTTCTTGATGTCAAAGGAGAGTGGTCGTAACATGCAAACGAAAAATAAATCCGATTTCCCAAGGAATTGCTGGTGGGTTTGCCTGTGTATAACAAGAAAAAGGAGAAATTAATTAACAGGAACAAGTGTACATAAACTATACAAAGATCACTTCAAACACATCATCTCAATTGATATTTGTAATGGTAGAGTTCTTCACAATTACGTGACTATGGTTTTACTTCACAAGAAATAAAAAACACAGACATTAACTCGCCCTGATGCTATTTATGAAGGAACCCCATCCTCAAAAACTAATGTTGCAGCAACCATTGCTAGAAATCAATGGAGATGGCCAACTAGAGACTACATTTACTTTTCATGCCCAAACAACTAAGAAGGTTTGCTGAGATACATAATATGCTAACCAGTTTATTGAAGTCTTGATATAGTCCGTGTATGCCTATCAATTTAATAAAATTCTTTATCTCATCTTTTTCTGTTCCCCTTTCTCTCGGAGTGGAAATATTGTGTGATAACTCACAAAGAAAGGAACGAGAATTAAAGAGATCAATGAAATGAAATCTTCTTACCTAAATGCTAAAATTTCCATGAATTCCGTGTCAATCTGAACAATAATAAGGCCAAAGATGTTAATGTTAGAAAGAAAAAAAAAGACTTCAAAGGGTGCAAAAACACAACTAATTGTATTAGGTGTTGTTTGAAACATGTGGAATTTAACTTACTCCTGTCTCTTCTTTTACTTCTCGAATTGCAGCCACACAAATATCCTCACCCTGCAGATGCAAAATTTCACTGTACGAACACTGGAAAAATTTAACATATAAGTCATATAACTACTATCCTGTACCTGATTGACAACACCTGTAGGGAACTTCCACACATCTTTACCTTTGAAAAAACCATTCTTCTCCTTAACTACTAGCACCTGCCAAGTTGAACAATTAGACCTGGACAATATGAGACTTGATTGATGACAACCAGCCAACAAATTTTTCTACTTAAACTATTGTTTTAGCATTTTTAATGACCTTTTCTTTTTACTTGTTAACAGTATGTGTTAATGAACTCTTTTGTAGCAAGAACCTGATTTGAAGATCAGAAATACACATTTTCAGCCCACCAATGGCCAAACAGAAAGGTCAACTAAAAGAAAACAGAATTTTCCTTCCTCAATAGCCTGCCACCAACTTCATGAACACACAAAAGCATAATTATGTTAGACCTCTCTCTTATCGTTCATGACAAAGGCACCGATGCCAACTATGTGTGAAGCATTTGCAGGAAGAGTATCAGGTGCGTCAGGAATCCAATAGACCAGCATCAGGTAATCCGATTCTGCATGGTGATAACTAAAACCTTCCTGCACGATTAATTACGCAAACACCATATCACTCCAGGAACACGATAGAGACAATGAATCAATCCTAATCATTTCCAGTTGGAAACATTAATTGGATGCCTTTCAGAGGCATGTCAGTTTGCAGTTATGATTTACCTTAACGGTAGGTTCAACGAGATTAGCAAGTTGAATGGGCAATTTGATCCAAACACCCTTCTTCCCCTGAAGAAAATATGTAAACAAGTTAAACATGGAGCAGCTAATACATAAGATCTTTGCAGTAGCTAAATCATGGCCAACGACTAGCCATGCCCTTTCATAAATGGAGGTTCTCGGTTTGAGTAAGTAACTGTTGCCTCCATTGAGATATTGAAGCTCTAAGCAAAGGAACATAGACGTTCAAATCCATAGGTTCCTCCATATATACCATAACTCCTCCATATTTATCTTCAACTGCATTAAATAGCTGAACTTCATCCGCAGGCAGTACTGTCTGCTCTTTCAATAAACTGGTTGAGGGAGACGACATATTTCTTCGTGAGCTTTGGAGTCTATAACTGAACCAAAGAAAATCAGGAATCAGCTGTCTACTTATGTTATGCACTGTGACAACCCAACTAAGAGCATGGCCAGCGCAAGAATCGGTAAGGATTTACAGCTTATTAAAGTCAAAGCAAGCCTGGAAATCGCTCTGTAGTGCTGTGAATGCTATGCAAGTGTGGCTAGTGAAGATGCAAAGTTTCTAACGATTTTTTTCCCGATTTTTTATTTTATTGTAATCATGCAAAAAGAGAATGCAACTGTAACAAGGTAGCCCAGTACTCTTGAACAAAACTGAGTCTTGGCCTTGATGAAGAGCAAGTTTGACTTGATGAGGTGCTTGTGGAGATTGAAGATAAGACTAACCTTGATGTTTCTAATCCTCCTATTTCAGTTTAATAATGATACAAGTCTCTTTCTCCAAAAGAAATAATGAAAAAGTCAACATCAAAGTACAGAAACAAGGAAAAACTAGCAACAACTTAGCACGTCCAATGTCAACTGTAATACTAATAATAAGGCGGCAGCAGCAGCAAACACATGAGATATACACTACTGACCACAACATAGGAGGGTTGACAGGAAAGAGGAACTAAAACGAACACGAGCACAAGAATCAAACCAGCGAAAAGACAGAAGCTTATTATACCTATTGTAATCTTGGACTTGGACTCAGTTCCACTCTCGGAAACCTTCACAAATTATGCCTCGCCTGTCTGCTTAGCCCTTGCCAACTTGGATGATCGAAGGAAAAAAAAAAAAAAGAGGACGAACCAAGGAAATTACGAAATTTGGATATTAATCAGCTTGATTGCAGAGGGGCGTGTACATCAGATTCCAATCTGCTCCTATGGATTCCAAATTTTTTCTTCTATACAGGGAAATTGGGAATTACGTCAGCTTCCAGCCTTCTACTCACTACTCCACATTAAAAAAAAGCCAAAACTTTTGAAAGTTCGCAAGAAAGGGATAACAACAATTATATTGATGGGACTGTGCCAAAATGGTAATTTGGGCTCTGGCCCAATAAATTAAACTCGATAAGTATTTCGATGAGTTATTTTTTATTCACTTTCTTCTTGGTGGGCTTCACTTAAACCCAGTCAGTGTCTTCTTTAAGGAGTCATTTCTAACCTTTAATGCCCAACATTCACACACAGCTCAATAAATCAAATCTAGATAAAATAAACTAAGAGGACTTGTAACAATACGTCAATGAGAGACACATGAGACATAGACTCCTAACAAGACCAAATCATGAGAAGAAAATGTGGAAAGATAATTCTATTTAACAGCAAAATTACAATCAGTTCAATGAGAAAAAACGTGAGAGATTACAATGTAAAGAAAAAGAATAAAAGAATGACATTGAGCAATACAAAACATGTAATTAAGTACAAATTACAATCAGCTCAATGAGCACTTTTTTCAAGTTTCAACACGTTTGAAACTTGTTATGTTACAATTAGTAAGTAATAATTTATAAGCAATAACTTGTAGATAGTAGTAAGTTGACTAATAATCTATAGATTAGTAACTCGGTTCCTCGTTTTTCATCTCGTATTTGTAACCAATGTTTCGCCTAGTTTCTTCAAGAAGTACTATGTTTGCGAGTGCCAAATTATAAATATTCATCGCTCTCTATGAATATAAGTTATTTTTTTCAAATTGAATTATTATAAAGACTACAACAACGTGTCTCTCGTTGAACATTTTATGTTTGTAATTTATAGGTTAATGTCAATATTGTAACATTTTCTTTTAGTATTTTGATTATTTAATCTTTCAATTTTAATTTAGATTTTACATTTTAATTGCATATTAACATAATAAGCCAAATCATTAGTTTAGATTAATCATTACTCGTGAATTCTTGTCCTCGCAAATTTGCAACCTAACCAACTTGGTAGTTTGTGAGCCCTTTCAAAGGGTTTGCGGACCAATTGCAATTAGTTTATTTAAGCTTATTTTTAAGACAAAACACCAAAAATATCATTATAATTAGTAGTAGTATGTTTACAATAATTAATTTGGTTCATTTAATTACTAGTTTGGAAGATAGAATGCCATGTAGACCATTATCCAACTATTTTTTTTACTCTTTTATTCCCAGTTCTCTTAGTTGAGGTTGATATAAAAGAACCCATATAGTTTTCTAACGATCACGGTAGGTGTGTTATTCTAGATGGCACTAAAATAAGCAATAAGAGTCTCATTATTTTAGGATGAAGATGACAAAAGTCATCCTTTTATAACAACAAGAAAAAAGGTTAGAGCCGATTAAGCCGGAAGAGATAGTTGATTCCCTCGTTCTCTTATTAATGGAGAAAAGACAAATTAAATCAAATTGAAACTAGATTTAAAGAAACTTGTAAATTGATAGCAATTAAATATCAAACCGTAACTCAATAGATAAAGAATAAGCATAAACTAAAAATGAAATTAATAGAAAATCATTACAAAGTGTTAATGTTGGTCACTAGCACCACCACGTATACTTTGATAGAATCCAATGTCAAAGAAAGAGAAATTTTCATAACAAAAATCAGACATGACTTAGATACTTTGCAAACGTTGAAGCGACAAGCTCATAAGGGTTTGAACCAAACCACAATGGATGTAAGTAACCATTTAGAGTCTAGGATAAAAAAGGAACGAGACTATGATTAGTAATTTTAATCATGCTATGTTTGAAACTATCAATAAAATCTTTAAACAAGTGGCCTTAGAAGGGGAAAATAAAATGGATAAAAAGCTTTATAAAAAGGTTGATCAAGTAGGTCTTTATAGAGTAAATCTACCCGAAAGAGATTATAGTGATTCGTATAAAGATGTGGGTGGCTTAGGTGGAAGAGACAATCCATTTTTCAAACCTAAACACCCCGACCAACCAACACGAAACCCATAGTGATAGAGGAAACTAGTAGACTTAGAGACCTCTTGTAAAACTTTATAATTCCATAAAAGTTAGGAGCTTGCAAAACACATCGGTCTTATCATCCGTAATTTAATTCTCCAATAGAATTTAAGCTTTATGAACCGTATCTTTCTAGTCATAGCCTTAAAATAAAGAGGGACTAAGAATATGGATATGAGTGATAGCGAGTTAGATCCTTAAAAATATCCGTAAGAAGAGCCCCATCGTAGGAGAAAAAGAGGGAAAGTTGCATGAATAGAGGACAACAAAAAGGAATTGATCGAAAAAGAAAATCCAACTATAAAGCGAGTATGAGAGATAACTTGAATAAAGAAAGAATACCCTTGAGCCTTTGGATGAGATGAAGAACCAAGAACAAATTTTTTAGAGGCCATTTGTATTATAAAGGATTGATAAAAAAAAAATGAGTTAAAGAATAATCCCCGAAAATTAGAGGAAAACGAGAGAGAGTAATTTACAATGAGAGAAGGAAGAGTTAGAGTTATAATTTTTTATTTCATCATAATATACTTGGATGGAAAGCAAATAGGTTGAATGCAATAGGTAGATTTCAACTATGCTTTTATACTGTAGAGATTGAAAGAACAAACGAACATGCGCCAAAGGAATTATCTTTTCACACATGAGAAAGATTTCTTTTTTACATATGAAAAAAAGAAAGATAGATGTTATACTAGAAATTTAATTGGGCTTTGGCCTAATAAATTAGAGAGATCAGCCCAATATGTTCTTTAATGGATTCTTCTTATTCACCTTTTTTTTGCTGGATTTCACTTAAACTTATAAGTTGGCTACTATAAGGAGTTATTTTCTAACATGTGAGGGCCAACATCTATACCTATCCAAGTAAATCTAGTCCATATAAAATAAATTGGAGAAACTTATAATAACATGGAAATGAGAGACATATGAGACATATACTCTTAACAAGAACAGATTATAGAGAGAAAACAATCCTATTTAGTAGTAAAATCAATTAGCGATTAATTAGTAGAAGAAAAATATAATTCTTACATCAATAAAGGCATGCTTCAAATAGTTAGAAAAAATAGAAGAGATTACAATGCAAGAATAGGAAAAAAAAAAACAAGAAAAGTGAAGCATTACAACATAAAATTAGATAATGAATGAGGGACATAGAGCAATACAAAATACATGATTAAATGCAGAAAAAAGTAACCCATCATAGAATATCAAAGAGAAATAAGAAGTCTATAAAACCAGTTATAGTAGAAGAAGAAAACATACAAACAAATTCTTACAAATTACAATCAGCTCAGAAGTACCTTTTCAACTTTCAAGACACTTAAAACTTGCCTCTTAGTTGAGACTATGTGTGTGTGTGTGTGTGTGTGTAGAGAGAGAGAGAGAGAGAGAGAGAGAGTAACAATAATTAAATAATCTATTTATCATTATTGACTATTCTTAATTTGTTAATTTTTTTTCCCAATGCCATCTTTTCTCATCAAATTATTATAGCTTTTAATAACCTAAAAAAAAAAAGGATTGGAATAAAAGGAGTATTATCTACTCTCTTTTTTTCAGATTTTTCCATTCTCTTTCTCACCCTCTCTCATGCCACTCTCTCCCAAATTTCTTCCAATTTCTTTCATTTAAATCCTAAGCTAAATCGAGTGTTAAATTATCTTAGAGAAACAATAAACAAGAAGACTCAAATGAAGATTAGCTATATTGAAGCTTGGAAGCGTATAGAAACTAGGAAGAAATTAGAGAATTGGAGGACAAGTTCTTAATGTAAGATTTTGATCAATTAATTTTTAAATTAGAATGCTTATATGTAATTAGTGATGATATTGAGATGCGATTGCATTGGATTGAGATTTACTTGAGGAATTGATTAGATTAAGGTTATGATTTTTTAGACTCAATTGGAAAAAGTTTGATTAAGTGATCCTAAATGTTTAATCGATGTTTAATTATCTTAAGTGTGTGAAATAAAAAGTTAATTTGAAGTTGAATTAAATGAATTTGAGAAATTGAGAGGTTGAAGATGATGAATAGTGATAAATTCCAATTTAGGTTTTAATTGG